CTCAAGTGATCCTCTTGCCTCAGCCTCCCAAGTACCTCGGATTGCAGGCATGCGCCACCACACTTGGCTAGTTTTCATATTTTTTGTAGAGGTGGGGGTCTTGCTATATTGCCCAGGCTGGTCTCGGACTCCTGGCCTCAAGCAATTCTCCCATCTTGGCCTCCCAAAGCTCTGGGATTATAGGCGCATGCCGCCGTATCTGGCCTGAGTTATTAATATCTTGTTTTGGTCATGTTCTGAAAATGCTGGGCATTCTTTTCCCTCTGGACCTGACATCTGATCAGGACACTGTAAAGGAGCTTGTGCAATGACGTTTCTTCCCCGATGTGTGATCTCCTTGATACGTGGTTTCGCAAGGTGTGCGGTGGTAGGGAGTTGATACGCTTGTCAGTCCATTTGAATCTCATGATGGCATTGAATGTGTGTTTCCCTTTTGCAGTGAACCTGGAGACCATGTGTGCTGATGATCTGCTATCAGTCCTGTTATACTTGCTTGTGAAAACGGAGATCCCTAATTGGTAACATTTTCTGTTAAGATGCTCTTTTAAAAATGGCAGCGCTTGACCGGGCACGGTGGCTCACGCCTGTAATCCCAGCACTTTGGGAGGCTGAGGCAGGTGGATCACGAGGTCAGGAGATCGAGACCATCCTGGCTAACGTGGTGAAACCCCGTCTCTACTAAAAAATACAAAAAAAATTAGCCAGGCATGGTGGCGGGCGCCTGTAGTCCCAGCTACTCGGAAGGCTGAGGCAGGAGAATGGCGTAAACCCGGGAGGTGGAGCTTTCAGTGAGCCAAGATGGCACCACTGCACTCCAGCCTGGGCGACAGAGCAAGACTCCGTCTCAGAAAAAAAAAAAAGGCAGCACTGCACTGTGGTAGTTCTAATATAACTCTAGGAGAAGCCCACCTTCAGTTGGATACCTGTTACAAGCCAGGTGTGGAGCCTCCCCCGCTTCATCCATCCACTTACAGATGGGGAAACCAAGGCCCAGAGAGCTTATGTTTCTTGTTCTGGAACGAGTGTCTAGGCAGTGGTTGAGCAGAAAGCTGATTACCATTCTTTCTGGCCCCGAACCCATCATCTTCCCCCTGGAACCCACAGCTCAGTTGACAGTAATCAGCTTCCTAAAGACTATTTCAGGGAACTAGCTAGTCATTTTACTTGTGTTCCTAATCGCACATGCTCTGCAGAGAGACCCAGGGGAGCGTGGTGGTAGCTCCCTGAGTGAACCGACACTTTAGGTATTTGGTCAGTCGCCCGAGCCAATAATACTGTTTTTGCAGAAGTGTGACTTGAATAGACAACAACGTAACTTTTTTCTTCCTTTCATTAGGATGGCAAATTTGAGTTACATCAAAAACTTCAGGTTCAGCAGCTCGGCAAAGGATGAACTGGGATACTGCCTGACCTCATTCGAAGCTGCCATTGAATACATTCGGCAAGGAAGCCTCTCCGCTAAACCCCCTGTAAGAGCTCACCCCTGCCCTGGCCTTCCTTTGTGGGCATCATGGTTCCCTTGATAGGGTGCTGGGGTTGGTATGTGGGCAGAGGTTTTCTTAAATTGCCTCCCAGGAATGGGGCCTCAGCTGTTTGAGGGCTGTGAGTCTTGAAAATCACTCAGTGAAAACACCAAGCCCCCAGTTGGTGGTAAAAGTTGGTGGGTTATCATTGGGATTTTCATTGTTAATATCCTACTTCATTAGTCCCCGTCCTCTCCAAAGACATGTGGGTACAAAGGGAAGCCAGAAGCAGGGAATTTTGATTTCTTGACCTTGATATTCAAGAAGTGATGTCACGGAATCCCTGGGCTGTCGCCTTTCCAGCCGGAAATCTCTGTGGCTGGTAGCTCTTTTGCCTGAGTTTTGTTCAGGCCTGCTGGGCTTATTTCACCCTCCTGGCCTGGTAGGCTGCACTTGGCTTGCGCTGCTGGCCCAGATCCCATGCCTGCCGAGGGCCAGCCAGGTGTGGAATG